GGTTTCTCGGAGGAAGGGGACCAAAGGGACAGGGAGCGGGTCAAAGGGCCCATGCAGGTCTCCATACCTTGTTGATGCTGAACTGCCCCTCAAAGCGGCAGCCGGCCCCGTTGTTCAGTGGGATCTTCATTGAGTTGTCGATGTGCCCCACCTCATGCCTGCCCATCTCATCCTGTATGTCAAGCCCGACCACTGCAGGGGGCAAGGAGAGGAGAGAGTCACAAATGCCCAGAGCAGTGGGGGTGGGGCCAGCCCTCTCCTCCCTGGACCCCTGCCCCCTCATCCACTCCATGGACAGGTGGGCCCCAGGCCATCTAGGAGCTCATTGTCTGGGGCCCAGAGCCAATAGAGGAGGAGGAGAAGGTGATGGCTGGACTAAAAGGGAGCAAGGTCCCTTCCCTGCCACTGCCTGGGGCTGCAAAGGAAGAGGGGAAAGAGCTGGGGGAGGTAGCAGCTACTGGGGCTGCAGAGGTGATGACTGCACCTGCTAAATTTAGCCAGGCTACAGGGAGAAGCAGAGGGTTGGGGTTCAAAGGTTGTCTAAATCCTGGCCCTGCCTTTTACCAGCTCTTCAACCCTGGCCAAGGCACATAACCCCTTGATGCCTGTTTCTTTTTCTGGAAAATGGGGGTGATAATAATTAGACCTTCTTTGGAGAATTATGCAGATTAAATAATGAATGTGTGTAGAAAGTGCTTAGAACGGGGTCTGACGCATAGTACATGGCAAGTGCCTAAAGAATGGTGGCATTTAATGTGTCTCAGTCTCTGGATTTGTTGGGCGAACAGGTCCAGGCAGTCATCCATTCGCTTTACTCATCATTCATTCATTCATTCACACCTTCTTTTACCCAATGCCTATGCTGGCAGACCCTGCCCTCCTGGAGCTCGGGCACTTTTCTGGGTTCCTTAGTGCACCGAATGGGAAACCTGGGGCCCGGGAATCCTGGTCCTTGCCTCCAATGTGACTCTCCACCTGTGACTCAGCTTCCCAATCTGTAAAATGGGCAGGCCCACGCCAACTGCATTCCCTGAGAAGGTCTAAGGGGCATGGGTTTGTAAACTATGAGAATGCATAAGATTCCCTGAAAGAAGCCCTGGAAAGGAGGTTGTAACACAGAGAAAGAATAGCTGGAAGCAATTTTATGTGAGCCAACCCCAAAAGGGAAAAATGGGAACATGTGTATTCCTCGGTGGAGATGGGGAAGCAAGTGAGGCCCCATCCATAGAAGGAAATGTGATGTAGTCATTAAAAATGACGCTCATGGGTCTGTAGTATGTGGGAAATGTTGATGCCGTAATGTTTGATTTAAAAGAAATGCAAACAGATCCCTGTTTGACTCAGCAGCTCCACCCTTAGGAGCCTGTTCTCCAGACGCACACATGTCCAGACGTGTGTGCAAGGCTGCTCTGGGCAACTTTATTTGAAACTGTGACCACTGGAGGCAGCCTAGCTGCCTGTCAACAGGGACTGGTCAACGGAACAGCCCCCTCTGGAATGCTGTGTAGCAGGTACACGGAGAGAGCAAAATCTACATGTGAGGCGAGGCAGCTCACAGCAGGCCAGTGACTAAGAGCTTGGGCTCTGGGCCTGCCACCTTCTGTGGTTCCTGGCTCTGCCCCTCCCCAGCTGTGGGACCTTGAGCAAGTTACTTAACCTTCCTGTGCCTCAGTTTCCTCCTCTATCTGAAGCTTTCGAGGATTAAAAAAATTAAAACAGGACTTACTATGTGCTAGGCACCCTTCTAAGTGCTTTTAATGTAAGAATGTACCATCTGAGCATCCCTGTGGGGAAGATATTATCAGACCCATTCTGTATGGGGGGACACAAAGGCACAGAGAGGTTAAGTAACTTGCCTGAGATCTCATAGCTAAGAAACAATGGAGCTTGGATTGGAACCCACAGAGTTTTAATCTAGAGGACATACCCTTTGGTCACTCTGCTAGAGCATCTCTCATCTTAACGCACTAACACAGCCAAAGAATTCAGGACAGAGCCTAGATTGGAGTAGGAGTAGAATAAATGGCACTTGTGGTTATCATCTTACTAATATTATGAGTAATATAAGAACAGCTCCAAGATATTAGTAGAAAAAAAACCAAGAAACCCCAGAAAGGTCCCATGTAGTTGAGTCCCAATTATGTAAAAAGGAAAAAGCCAAAAAAAAAATCCCCACCTAAACATGGTATGTGTTCACAGACAGAGACAGACAGACAGACAGAGAGACACACACACACAGAGGGGTAGGGAAGGAGTCCCAACTATTAGTAGAAGCTTCCTCTGGGGTGGATGGCACCCCAGGGAACACGTATTTCCTTTACTTTTTTCTTTATACATTTTCTTTTGTATTTTGAATATGATTTTTTTTGAAGTAAAAAATATATTCCTGTATTAGTTCACAATAAAATGTTACTTTTTAAAGCATGCTATGAAATTGCACATACAGCGTGATCTCAGCTGTGTTTAGAAACACACAGAAAGGAAGGCCAACGGGATGGAATGGTGTCAAATGTCAAAGGACACTGGGTGGAATTATGGATTTCTTCTCTCTGTTGCTCCGGATTTTCCAAAGGTACAATGATGAGCGTGCATTTTTTTCTCTAATAAAAATGTGAAGTTGGGGCGCCTGGGTGGCTCAGTTGGTTAAGCAGCTGCCTTCGGCTCAGGTCATGATCCCAGGGTCCTGGGATCGAGCCCCGCATCGGGTTCCCTGCTCAGCGGGGAGCCTGCTTCTCCCTCTCCCTCTGCCTGCCTCTCTGCCTACTTGTTCTCTCTCTCTATCTCTCTGTCAAATAAATAAATAAAAATCTTTAAAAAAAAAAAAATGTGAAGTTCCTTTAAAGAGAAGCCAGGGTGCGGGGCTCAAGCGGGAGCCGCCTGGGTTCAGATTATGGCCCTGCAGGTATGGGGCACAGTAGGCTGATGCAGCCTGAAGCTTGAGGTTGCCCCGCCATGGCCCATCACTGGGACCGAGCCTGGAACCACATCCCTTCCCTCCCCCGTCCCGATCATCCCAGTCCTCTGGCCTAAGAATTTCCTTGTTCCAGAGACACAACCAACTCCTGAATGAATAGCTGCCAGATGAATTATTTTTCTAAGAGAAAGAGAAAAAATAAAAATAAAACTGACCTATTTCAACAGGTTCCCTGGCTCAGGGCCCACTGTGGATTCAAAATTGTGATGTAATTCTCACCAGAAGCAATAACAGAACTGAATCGCTCCCTATCTCTGTCCGCAGACACACTCGATGTTCTGTCCTTCAGGAGGAAGGGAGTGGGTGGCAGGAGAAGGGCCCGCATCGGGTTACGTGCCAGGCTGGGGCAAAGGGACACTAAAACCGCAGTCCAGGAGGGGACACACAGTCCACTTGATAAGTTTAGGAACCAGTTCATCAGGCCCTCCCAGAAACCTCAGGCAATAGACAGCACTAAACCCATTTTTACAGATGAGGAACCAGGCTCAGAGAGGTCATACCTTTGCCAGGGTCACACAGTCTTAGTGGGCAAAAGAGCCAGACTTCCAATGAGTTTTGTTTTATACTAGTAATTCGTTCTCTCAGTTAAAACAAACGAAACAAACAAGAGTATGGAATAAAAAACTAAGTTTCCCGATAGCTGCTAACAGCTCAGAGCTGCATCCTTCTCCAGGTGACTGCTCTTGGCTGGTGGGAGGTCTCCTTGCCTCGAGATGCTTGAGGGGTTATGGACCCCCTTCCCTGCCCCTCCCCCACACATCACCCTGCAGCCTTCAGCCAGGGATATGAGTAATAATAGCCCGGCCCCCCTGTTTACTGGGTAGGACAAACTCTGGCATATGCCACAGAGCTCCATGAAATCAGGATGTGATTAGACCTCCCCTGAACATACATCTCTGCTTGTCCTTTCACATCCCCCACACCCTTCCAGTTCCTCCGAGAGCCCTCTCTCAATAACTCACTTGCAGAAAATCTTAGGCTCTGCTTCTTGGGAACCTGACCTGAGAGACAGCCCCCAACACACCAATGTGGCTACTCTCCAGAGGGAATCCCTGTTAGCAATTTCATGGGTTTTGTAATCCAGAAACTCTGCAAATGCATGCACAGTTGATTACATTCTCCCCCCCAAAAAAGAGTAAGGAGAATCTTACGCTACCTGCTATTCACAGCTTGCCCGGTTTGCTGACTTGTCCTGGTCATCTCGTCATTTCTGCACACCCAGCTCTGCCTAACGGAGGGGTCTTACTGGAGCAGAGGGCTGTCGGGAATACTCACGTTCACAGTGCAAATTGGGTAAACTGATGTTCAGGCTGACGTCAATTTTGCCCCCACTGTCCTTGTCCGGGTCATCAACGTAGAGCTCATTCACGCTAAGGGAGACAAGTACAGAAGCCTTTGTTGAGATGGGGCACCATCCTAGCTGCAGGGGCCAGCCAGGGGCCATTTCCCTTGGTGACCACTGCTCAAATAACTAGAACTCCCATCTTGGGAAGCGCGTGCCTGCTCAGGCACAGGGGATCAGGGCTCCCATCTGGAGGGCCCTCTCCAAATGCTGGCTTTACCACTTAGAAGGAGAGGGATACTTTCAGAGTCAGACACATTCAAGTTCCAATCCTGGCTCTGCCACTTTCTATGTGAACTCGGCAGGTAACTTCACCTCTGTGAACTGCCTGTTAAATGGGATAATACCACTCACTATTAATGGGGTGTCTGAACACTTGAAAATTGGGAGTCTTACTAGGCATCAGGGCCTGGCAGCACCAGGCACATGGTGCCTTATTCCCTACTTTTTTTTTTTTTTTTTTTTTTTACTCCCTACTCTCTTGAGCCCCCTCCCACTCAACCGGGAAAGGGGGATTCCCTGGGTGGTCATCCTCAGTGTCCAGCGCTCATAAAGCCCTGGGGCGAGCACCAGGCTGGAGACATGACTAGACTGATCTATTAGTGTTCTGTGGCTGCCCCAAATTGTCACAAAGCTGGTGGCTTAAAACAACACACATTTGTTATCTTGCACTCCTGGAACAGGGGCGTAACACGGGTCTGCAGGGCTGTGCTCCTTCTGGAGGCTCCAGGGCAGAATCCATTGTCTTGCCTTTCTCAGCTTCTAGAGGCTGCCTAGGCTCACAGCACCTCCTCCACCTTCAAACACAGTAGAGCCACATGGCATCTTCACTCCTCTCTGACCTCCTAACTCCCTCTTAGAGCAACTTTGTCAGTTCACTTTGCCCATCGGAAAACCCAGGGTCATCTCCCTAGTTCAAGATGCTCAACGGAATCCCATTTATAAAATTCCTTTGGCCACGTAAGGTGACACACTCACAGGTCTCAGGGATAGGGACGTGGGCATCTTTGTGAAGAGAGGCCCAGTGTGGGGGCAGGGTGCTCCAGGGACAGCCATGCCACCTTGCTCTCCAGGACAAGGGCACCACACTGGCATCTGTGAGCAACACGAATTTATTCAACAAATACTTCTGGAGTGCCTACCACCTGTCAGGCTTTAAAGACAGTGGGTAACCAGTCAGACGGGATCTCTGCCTTCCTCAACCTTACAGACACTGCTCACCCCCTAAATAGATACCTTCCACCAGCTATGATTGTCGCACTGTCCGAAAGCTGTGGGGTGCCACGGGAGGGATGAACAGGGCCACCGACCTCTGGGGAGGGTGGGCCAGAGGGACTTCTCTGAGGAGATGGGAGTTGAGGCTTCAGGGATGAGGAGGCTGTCCCAGCAAAGAGGGAGGGGAATCCCCGGGACAGTGTGCGCAGAGGCCTGGAAGTGGCGGATTTGGGGAACTGAGCGAAGGTCACTGTGGTCGCAGTGTAGAGCAGAGGGAAGTGGGTTCGTGTTGTAGCTGGAGAATGGACAGGGGCTGTGTCAGGCGGGCTCGGAGGCCCTGGGAAGGCCTTCACCTCCTGAGCGCAGCGGCACGGTCAGGCTTACACTTTAACAGACTCCAGGGGCCACTGTCTCTGGGGAGACCACACGGGAGGCTGAGGCAGTGGTGCAGGGGACAGATGACGGCCTGGACGGGTGTGTGTGGGGGGGTGGACAGGAGGGAGGGACGGAAGATATGGCATGCTAGAGCGGGCAGGACTTGCTGCTGGATGGGGCGTGGGGGTGGGGCGACGGAGGCATGCAGGCAGACTGCCACGTTCCTTCTGGAACCCTCTGTTGGACTGGGAGCCCCTGGAAGAAGAGCAGTGGGGAGGGAAAGGTGCCGAGTTCCACGTGGTCTTGCTGAGCTCGAAGTGTCTTGGAGATATCCCCGAGGAGCTGCTGAGTAGACACTGGATGGCCGTGTCTGAAGCCCACTCGTAATTCCCAGAGCACTCCCCGTGGGGAGAAGGAACGGAATCTAGAGGCTTGGCCTAGGGAACAGCTATGGGGGCAGCTTGAAGTGGCTGGGCTGTGGCTATTGTAAGCATTAACCAGGGTCCTATCCACAGGCTATAGAATAAAGGCTTGCAGCTCTAAGCAATTCAACTCCCAGGAAGCCCTGTAAATAGCCTCATCTTTGGGAAAGAGTGGCCACAGCAAGGGCATTTTTACTCAGGCCCTGTCTTTATGCTCCTAGCCCCTAACGTGATGTAGCTGATGCTCAATTAAGAAACAGTGGGCTCAAAAAGTCACCTGGGGCTTGTCTGCTCTCTGCCTGAGACCCAGGCTTTCCAGGGCTCATGCTATCTCCCCTGCTCTCGCTCTCAACATCTCGGGTCAAGGGCATAAAAGGGAGGGAGGGGCGGGCTGGCTCTCTTGAGGCCACACACAGGCTGTGGGGCGGGAAGATAGGAGCCTGTGCTTGGCAGGCTCATAGCATTGGCCCCTATCAGGGAACAAAAAGAACAAATGAGCCAGTGGGAGAGGAGCAAGCAGGACCACAGGAGGTATGCCGGAAGATGAGTATCTCCACAGCCAAATTCTCCTCCTCAGCCTTCAGAGCCCCATTTCTACGCCAGCCAGCCTTGATTTGCAACTCCAAAGGGTTGTTGAGGGATGAGATCGCTGGATGATTAACAGACCGTCATGGAGAGGAGACCCTGCCTTCCCTTCCCAAACAAGGGAGACTGTTCCTTGAAGCTACTCACCTTTCCCACCTGGGAGGCGGGGCCTCAGCACATCACTGAGGGATTGTGGGATGATGTCATCCCCTGGCAATCCTCTGGAGGTGACCCCAGTGCAGAAAGAGGTGAATCCCAGGTATGGCACCAAGGTGAGCTCACCCTCAAGCCCCCAGGGGGCCTCTCTCAGCTCACAGAGCCCAGGCTACCTAGTGCCACGTAGAACAAAGGGGCTGAGGTGCTCGGGAGAGACAGAAAGCCTGCAGAGCTCGGCCGGTCTGGTTACGTAAGGCTAGAACGCGCTGCTCCCAGGTGCCTTCCTAAAGGGCTCTGGGCGGCCAGATAAATGCAGTTCCACCACCCGTGCCACCTACCCAACGAGGCCCCGACTGCCACCTTGTGAATGCAAGGCAGATGTTCCAATCCTGTTGGCTTCCTGCTACCCCAGGCCGGCGCTGCAAGCCGGCCCACAGCCCACCTGCAGATGCCTGCCAAGGCTAGCTAACTTTAATGGCTGGGGCTGAAAGGATTTTTTGTTTTTTAAGATTTATTTATTTATTTAAGGGGGGGAGGGGCAGAGGGAGAGAGAGAATCTCAAGCAGACTCCACTGAGCGTGGAGCCTGATACGGGGCTCGATCCCAGGACCCTGAGATCATGACCTGAGCCGAAATCAACAGCTGGATGCTTAGCCAACTGAGCCACCCAGGCACCCCTGGGGCTGAACTGATTTTAAAAGGTGAACGGACAGCCAGAAATCAACCTACCTGGAGGGGCAATAAAAGTTTTTTGTCGATCTACTGCTGTCTCGGGACCCATGGGCCTGATTCCTCCTGTCACTAACAAGGGTGATGAGAAGACCCATGGGGCAGAGGCAGACAGATATGGGCTCACCTCCTGGCTCTGCCTCTAAGAAGCTGGAGAAACTGGGACAAGTTGCTTCACCCCTCTGAGCCTCGGTTTCCTTAACTGTAAAACTGGGAAAGCTTTCTATGAAGTCTGAAGACAGGCAAAATTAATCTATGGTAATAAAAGTCACAATAGTGTGGTGGTGGTGGGAGATGCTGACTGGGAGGGGGCACAAGGGAAGCTTCCAGGTGGTGGATAGGTGTTGTCTTGATGGGCTGATGGTGACATGGGTGTAAGCACAGGCAAGCAGTCATCAAGTTTCACCTTTAAGATCTGTGCGCTTTGCTGTCTCTAAGTTACATATACCTCTCAAAAAGAAGGGAAGAAAACCAGGAGGGAGGGAAGGGCAAAGAGGAAGAAAGAAGGAGAAAGAACAAGAAAGGGGTCAGGATTCGGGCTGCTTCCCAGGGCTGTGAGCAATAAAGCTGCAGGTTGCCCCAGGACAGGGGGATGTATGTTACTCACTTCTCTGAGGGCCTTGCGCAGGCCTTTCTTGGTGAAGTCCAGACTCGCAGGGTTCAAGTCCTGGCTCTGCCACCTTCTAGCTGATTGACCTTACGCAAGGGGCTTTGCCTCTACCAAGCTCAGTTTTCCCAGATGTAAAACAGGGACAATCATGGACAGGCATAATCTTAGTCAACTGTAAGTGCTCGATAAGAAAGTGTCCCCTACTTTTATTGTTCTCACAATATCAGGGTTTTCAGAGTTGGTAATAACAGGTATCCACCTCACAGCACTGTGGTAAGGACTGTGCTGAGGGGCCCACAGCTGGTGTATTAAATCGAGAACATGCCAATTATGACCTGCTGAACGAGGGGGCACAAGCCACCCACACAGTCTTGCCAGGTAGCTCCCTCAGCATCCGAGCTCCCACTTTGGGGAAGTGAAACCCACAGGGTCATTTTGACCGAAGGCACAGTTTCAATACACCCACACAAAGGAAGAAAGAGTCCCAAGATTTATTACTTACAGATCCCAGGAATGGGGGTGTGTATGCCATGGGCCAGGGGGAGGGCAGGAGCGAGCAGGAGATAGAGAGCAGGGTAGCGAGCACTTATTACTTATATGATGGTTGGGGCAGAGGTCACCAACTCTCCCCCCGCCTTAACTCTAAGTAGTTATTTGAAAAGGTGCCCGGGGAAAATAAAAGCGGGCACTCATGGCGGGCATCCTCAACTCAAAAGTCCTTATCTTAGTGTCCAGACTCTGAGTGAGAGTAGGGTTATCATACTGTAAAATGCCTAGGCAGCAACCCAGAAAAACAAAGTTTGTTCTCCTCAAAAGTTGCTTTTCTCATCACAAGGATTAATGTGTTAATGGACGTAAGGTGCTTTACAGCCCCTGGTACATACTAAGCCCGTGTGAAAGGTGGCTTTGCTTATAATTAATCAAAGAAAATATTCC